CGTTTCATCTCTCCAATAACATATACATGTATATATGTATACTTTTAGGGATTTTCCGTATGGTCTTGCATGCGTGGGATTGAAATTTGCATTCTTTTTCTGCTTCTCGATTTTCGACCATGATTGTCGATTTTGCTTTTCCCAATTTTTCCTATCGCGCATTCAATCTTCGAACATGTGAAATCGGGTGGGTGGAAAAAAAGGTTTCAGGCGAAGTATAAGCGTTTTTCCGGGATATTGATAACATAAATCTACGGAACTTGCTGTCATTTATTCAAATTTCTGAAAGTGGCAACTACGGAGGGCTCATGTCGTTGTCGATGTGTCAGTTGGTAAGAGCAAAGGAAGTTCAAACTTTTGCCAACTTATTCCAGATTCATTCGCATTTGCGCTGCACCCGCTTGGTGAGGTAGAACGATATGCATGCTGATTCAGATTGGAGCTTGTTTTGAGAGCGGTTGCAGATAGATGATTGTACGATAAATTTACCAACATTGAACTCGTTTTCTTCGTTCTTCTGTATAAATGAAAAAGTTCGTCTGCTTTCTGCATCCATGCTCAGAATGATCGGTACAGAAAAAACTTGCACGTGGTATGCTGCCTTGTTTGTCGTAGAATTCCGTCACGAACTGGAACTAGTATTGAGTTTTAACAATACCCCACTGCAGTATAGGATTTGAACGCCAGTGTTATCTGTATCCAAATAATTTTACAGTAGTTGTACCGTACGCTTTGTTTCCCTTTTTGGATGCTGCACAAGTGGAGTGGAATACAAATTTTCTCCCGCAGCAGATTTCTTGTACAGTTGGTTTACGTATAATTTCAAAGAAAAATAAGATAAGCCAGTTGATACTGTCTGGGAGTGCTAGAGGAAATATGTTTTCTCAGCATTCAGCATGGTTTCCAGTTCATGAAATGAAACACATGCGAGCATACTTGCATCTCAACAGTCTGTGGAAATTGGTGAAAGCTGTTTCAGGGATAATGCATTTAGAATTTAAATGATGGTGAATGTCGTGACAGTTATTGGACGGGAACAATTTTCCAGCAGCCATATCCTACAGGATCTGTCACCAGCTTTCAATTTATGTAAGTACGAGTAAATATATCCAACGATGTAAGCGGAAGGACACACGCAAAGTTGCAATTTCTCAGAAAATGTTTTAGCCTTGTTACAAAGAATGGTATAGCGAGCGGTATGGAAAACCGTTTATCAATTCTAGGCCCAGAGTATCATATACCAATCGACTCAGCTCTACGAGATCGGAAAATGATGTGTGTGTGTGTGTGTGTGTGTGCGTGTGTGTTATATTGTAAGATTTAGGAAAGCTTCAAAAAGTCTGGCCTGTAGTGAAGTTGTGCCAACTTGCACAACGTCCCGGTGTGGTATCCACTAGTTGCCTTGTGCAGTTCCACTAAAACCCATTCCTTACTCTCTCCTCGAAAAATTGAAAACTTCTGCTGCATCTTCTCGAATCACCCCGGCTAGCAACCCCTTTGACCTTCTGTTTTACTGCCAGAGCCAGTGCTAAGATTTCTCATTGTCATTGACAGACTTTCGTGCGATATTGACAAAATTGTTTTTCACATAGTTAGTAGTGATAACCGCACAACCTTGATATTTGACCTTTGCGACAATTTCAAAAGCTCACTGTCGTTGTATTGCTTGTGGGATGTAATCCAGTACCCACAGGCGCGTCTTCATTCGAAGATCCCAACTAACAATGTTAACTGCAGATTAGCTTATACAGGAAAAAATTGGCTTATACTACAGGGATGTGGGTGGGACCACTACGGTCCCATAGAACGCTTTTGAATATTTTAGGAATTGGTCAACTGGTTTCAGAAATATGACTACACTATGAAACTAAATCTGGCCTTAAATGAAGAAAACCTATCATGTAACACACACATATCCAAGAAAAAATAGAAAAAAAAAATGTTAAATTCAAACGGATTTCCACTTCTAGTTTGTCTTGTATTTAACTATATAACTTTTTTGTTGGAGGGGCATGGAACAAAAAAAGGTTGAAATCCACTGGTTTAAAGCGTTGAACATGGACCGTGACTTTATCCGCGTCATGTCTAGGCTCATGTCCAACCACTGTTCGTTAGACTCGCATCTCTTTCGGATTGGGGTATCAGACAGCAATCTCTGCGCTTGTGGAGATGCTTACCATGACATCAAGAGCAAATTTTCATTACGTCGAGTAACAAAGGTAAACAAAGCCGAGCTATCAGTGTCAATCGATGCTCCTGCTATTACACTATATACTGTTCGAATATAGGATCACATCCCATTTTTAAATTTATTTACCAGTCGAATTGCTTTTTGACGTAATCACCTTCCGATCAAAATAGTTTTCGATGTTATTTAAGTCATCCGATTTCTATGGAGATGCCGTTTGCCTTAAGTAACAGCACTGAGAAACCCGTGAAAAGTGTACTTTCGTCGTTTCGCTTTCTCATTATTAAAGTGAATAAATCGAACTGTTTGTTGCTAAGATGATTTCGGTGGTCCTAAAATGATGAATGGGCTGCACGTAAGGAGACGTAATTGATAATTCTCCCGAATATCCTGGTAAATACACTTTGACTTAAGTAACAATAGGGGCCACCAAATGACGTATAATAACTTTTGACTCAAAAACCAGTATTTCTTAGCATGAAAGCTAGCGATTTGCCTTTGTATGATTAAAACCCGGCTAAATATGTTAAACATTGCCATCACTATGAGATTATATGTGTTTAATTGGAAATAGGAATAACTTTTCGGTCATCAAAACAAAACTTTATTTTTCTCGGATCGGTGCGAATGATACTTACGACATAATGAAAATTTGCTCTTGACATCAAACATCAAGATAGATAGATGTATAGGTGGCACAGTATTTACGGTCTACTAGTGTTGGTGAGTTATATGCCGTCAATGTTCATGAAAAGTTCACTATTTTGCAAGTGATCAATCTTTGATGTGCATTTCGCGAATAAACACGAGGATCATTGATTCACAATCATGAAACATGAAACATGTCATATACAAGCGTCGTAGTTCATTTTAGTAAACAAACTAACACTTATTCCTTGTGTGGCACCTTTCATTAGGCGCCTAGATCGATCATGTTGTTTGGTCTTGTACCATAAACCGTGTTGTCAGATCTGAGTTGTGAGAATCCCTTATAGGGTTTTGATCTAATTTCCGTCCTATTAAGCACATCCCGCACTTTACCTTTCTTTTTCGAAAGGGTTTGAACAAAACATGGAATGTTTTCATGAAAGATATCTTCTAAATTTATTTATCTTTCCATACGTATAGTTGGATTTGAAAAAGAGTCAAACAATGTTGAGATATTATTAAAAATTTAACAATGCTTCTTGATTCTAAATTCGTCCTGTGAGTTTCAATTCCGTCCTAACGCATTGAAACGTCATTAGATTTTCTTCGTCCTACGGATGATGGTAGAAAAAGTGGATTCGCTAGGAGCGCTTCTTTTGTTTTGAGAACAATGAGTGTAAATATTCATACAATGCGCTGTAATAGGCTTCCTGTTGTGGCTTATGAACTAACGAATAGGAACAAACGTATTATTGTTTTTGGCATGGTGAAATCATTGATATTATTGATATTTTCTGCGCGATAGAACGGAAATGGGCGATTACGACGAAGTAGCGCTCTTCCCTACAGATGTATTAATTGACTACTTAAAAAGTCTACATTAAGACATCGCTATAAATAATGTTAAATATTAACTTGTTTGAAAATCCACGCATCACTAACAACAAGTGTACCGTTGTGATTGACGACGATGTAGATACGTATAAATGTTTATCATATGCGAAAAAAGTAAACGTAAGGTTTGATCGGTGCTCGAAAGTTCCTGTGACTAATGTATTGAGATGCTTCAAATGTTGAGAATTTGAGCACATTTGGATTGCAAAAATTGTGAGAGATACTCTAGATGCAGCCAACAACACAATACGTTTTAAAAAACAAAAAGTGCCTTAGGCTAACTATATTGGTCGCATACGGTTATGTATCAGGCACTCTTGGGAAGTTGCTTGAGCTTTAATTATATATCCTTTCTCACCATTGGGGCCGTCCCCATTCTAAGCCTTTGAAAATGTAGGATGAATTGCACTTAATTGAATTTTACACCAAAATTTCAAGGGTAGATATTTCGTAAAAATCCAGCAAGAGGTAGTACTTGAAACTACATGTGGCTGTGCTCATGGACCTCTCATAATCTCAGCGCTAGCTAACATTGATAGCTTGTTGATCGTCTCTCCACTTACGTTGCAGCTCTGACGTAATTTGAGCAACTGCCCTGATGACTGCATTAGGTTTTGCACCGTCGGGGTTAACCTCAATCTGATGACAGTTCAGTGGTACTGTTTACGTGGACTTAGTCGTTTTTTTCTTGTGTGGATTTTCTCGATAATTTTTCAGACTGCAGTGAGATGCAAACCACACTTCTGCAATGTCCACGAGCAACATCCTTTCATCGCGCTGTTCCTCGACAATTTTCAAGTTAAAATTCGGAAATTTTAGAATTTTTTTTTTCGAAAAAACGACTGAGTGCTTGTAAACAGTACCACTGAACTGTCAAAAAGGTTCAGCCGATTAACACTGAGTTCATTTGTGACGTCACGCTGCAGAACCTAATTGCAGATGCCCAACTCTCAACACATTTCATCAACGACATAACCTGCATTAATGGCAGGCATTTCCCTTCGCATTGCTTCAAAATGAGGACAGTCAAATACAACGTGCTCCGATGTTTCATCTACATTTTCACATTCCGTACAGAGGGGTGTCCTTGCGTTTCCGAACCGATGTAAGTACTTTCTGAGGCAACCAGATGATAATTGCATCAGGTGGAAGTTTACCTCTCCATGCTTTCTGTTAACCCAAGTCGAGAGATTCGGTATGAGTCAGTGTGTCCATCTACCGTTCGCTGCTGTGTCTCACTCCTGCTGCCACTGGGCCATCGATTTCATTTTTACCATTTTCGTACTCCTCTGGTTTCTCTCCGCTTATAGCACATCCTGTCTTCCGCCAGTCTTCCGATGAGATGGTTCTGTACTCTCTCACGAACCCAGGCTGGACCTCCGTCTCTCAGTATCGACGAAGATACACTAGCCAGAAGACGCATCTTGCTACCGCTTCGTCCAGAGTTGTTCGGCGTGGTTTTAGTTACCACGTTGATGGCTTTCGGCACCTTCTGGCAAGCATATTCAACGTGACTGTTGAAGTTTAGCCGGTCATCGATCATAACTCCCAGGTATTTCAGCACGCGCTTCGATGCTATGGCGTGTTCCTCAATGATGATTTCTTCCCGTTGCATCTCCTTGCATTTACTGACTTTACTGACGTTCGTAAAGCTAACGACATCGACACCTTTGGACAGCTTCTGTGTCCGCACGCCGTTGTTCATTCCATTCCTGAGCGTTGGACTAAGGATGAAAAAATCTGAATTTTAACTATCGCATTCAATCTCCCTTCGTTTAATTTTGAGCTATACTTGGCATAAACAGACAAATCGTTTACAAGCTTTCATACAATTTTGCTAATTTATGCGATATTGCGCTTAAATTTACACAAAATATCGCGTAAATTTATGCCAAATCTAGCGATACTTTTATATGCGCTATATCTCGCAGAAATTTACATGAATTTTTCAAACGGTGCATGCACCTAAAGCATTGTTTTGTAACCCGATTCGTGGCTTTCAACAAGTACACTGACCATCCAAATTTTATTTTGCCTTTCTCCAACAGCTTGTAGGGTAAACGCTCCTATAGTTGCGGTACGTTAGAAGCGTTAGGTTCCTATAGTTGTGTATGGAGACTCCATACACAACTATAGGAACCTAACGCTTCTAACTTACCGCAACTATAGGAGCGTTTCCCCTACACCGTTCGAAAAATTCATATTAATTTCAGCGAGATATAGCACACATAAAATTAACGCTAGATTTGGCATAAATTTACGCGATATTTCGTCTAAATTTAAGCTCAATATCGCATAAATTAGCAAAATTGTATGAAAGCTTGTAAACGATTTGTCTGTTTATGCCAAGTATAGCTCAAAATTAAACGAAGGGAGATTGAATGCGATAGTTAAAATTCAGATTTTTTCATCCTTAGTCCAATGCTATATGCAAGCTTGTTAACGATTTCGCTGTTTTTGCCAAGTATAGGGGAAACGCTCCTATAGTAGCGGTATGTTAGAAGCGTTAGGTTCCTATAGTTGTGCATGGAGACTCAATACACAACTATAGGAACCAAACGCTTCTAACGTACCGCAACTATAGGAGCGTTTACCCTAGCTCAAAATTAATCGAAGGGAAATTTTACGCGGTAGGGTAAACGCTCCTATAGTTGCGGTACGTTAGAAGCATTAGGTTCCTATAGTTGTGTATTGAGTCTCCATGCACAACTATAGGAACCTAACGCTTCTAACGCACCGCAACTATAGGAGCGTTTCCCCTAGTTAAAATTCAGATTTTTTTTCTATGTACGCTGTTGCCTTCAAAAGTCGTATCACCGCTGACTGAGTACCGATGTACGCTTTCCTCATCCGAATTGTCATAGGTATGTCTCCTAGATTGCAATGTACCTTCAGCGCACTTCTCAACTCCTCTTCTGTTGTGGTGTCGTCCAGTTCCCTGAATTCGATGACTGTCTTGAAGGCTGATCTCTAGAACCTCAGGATCTTTCTTCAGCTCAAAGGGTAGTTGCTTGAACTTAGATTAAGTAAGACGGCTACATTGGTGGATTAATTCAGGATTTTCATTCCATTTTTGTCTTCATTCGTATAACGAAGTGAATCCAAGAAATTTTCAATGCGTTTGTATGAAATTGAAACTCGTGAGCCAAGTTAAGCAGTGCCAAGAACTCGTGATCCAAGCAGTGCTGATTTCTTTTTACAAAAATAAATCAATTAAAAATACACAGGGGAAAAGTTGGCTTCGGCAATACCTTAACCTATTATCGTCAGGGGGGTAAACAAAGTCCTAGAGCACTCAAATTTGGCCAATAGTTGCTCTGAAACACAATGTATCCACATGCCAAAATTGAGCTCTCAAGGACGCTGTTTACCCCCCTGACGATAATAGGTTAAGGTATTGCCGAAGCCAACTTTTCCCCTATGTAGTATAAACATTCCATTTTGTGTGAACATCCGTTCGAATAGAAGAGGTAAACTGAGGGTTGTGCGTAGTAGGCCAAACATTAGATTTGATCCCTACTTCAGGGAATGCTGTTTAGTGGTTTGTAATTTATTTGCGCTGAGCTAGAGTATATGTTTGATGATATCTGAAGTATACGAAATATTCTGATGCAACATTGCATTTGAAGTTTTCCCCTGTAAATCAACCGTGTTAACGTTCGAAGCATATTTGCCTTTCGAAATATTTTTTTGATGAAAAATATGGAGCGATCGAAAGCGATAATATGGCTGCATATCTTACTCAGTGCAAATATCAATCACATGATATTTACAATCAATTATTGCTTTTCTTATGGATTTGCCTGAGACCATAGTAGATTTTTTACTTTTCTCGGTTATGGGTTTCCAAGCTGAACTTCGTGACAATGATACGGGATTTCTGAATAGAAGGAGGAGTTGGAGCAGAATGAGCAATAAAGTACTTTTCAGTTTCTAACACAAAAGCCTTCTGGGTTGTAAATGAAATTGAAAAAAGCGGTAAGCCCAGTAGCTTTATACCACTTCGCTGTGGTGAGGTTAATTTCTGAGGGCCATTTGCTCGGTGGGAGTAATATCTTATAATTCCATCAGAATTGAATTGCGTCCGTTTGCCGGAAATTTAATTGAAGGATCTTCTTCCGTTGAAGGAGTGAGTTAACTTTAATGGCGCTTTTCGATTAAGTCATAAGAAGACGGAATGAAAATTGATGAATCTGCTAAGCGAGTATAAGATAGAACCATACTCGGATGAGTTAAAGTTGAATTGCCCTTTCTATGAAGATTGTGGAATTTGTATACGTAATTGAAGAGAGAAAGGAACACTGCGTTTGTTAAAAAAAAATAACAAGGAAGTATTTTATTGCGTATACTTAAAATTGTGCATTAGGGTATTGTTTGAAAGCAGACTTAAACTGTATAATACTTTCCTGGATATTTGAAACAGCTATGTGGCTTGGGGAAAAGTATGTTACGAGGGGAAGGAAGGAGCGTTAAACATCGAAAAACTTGCGGATGTCATATTTGAATCACCCCTGATGCATTTAGTAATGAAGCTAATATGGTACAGGCGATATTTCATTAGTTTGACAGGCTATAAATGGAATACACCATAATACGACTTGGGACATTATTCACGATTTTGGATATTTGCTGCCAGTCTTAGCATGTGGCATTATTGTTGTGCAACGATCATGTGTAGAAAATGACTTAATAATTATTTGAATAGAACATTTGATAACGCTATCTCAATGTTTCTTCCCACATTTTGGTGATATATGTATGTATCTAATACATAAGTTATGCTTTTAAGAAAATAGAGCACATCCGTGTTGCAAGCTGTAGCATTAGTACAGCATTATTAAGAGAGCGCTACCTAAACATGTGACGTTTTTGGGCCTAAGCATATTCTAGACTTAATAAACTTGCAAATATTTTAGTAAAAACATACATTTCTTGATCGATTTCGGCCATTTTCAACAAATTTTGCGGGATGGCGGATACTGGGTGGTAATTGAAATGTTCAAAATTTATGTTTTTTTGCAAACATTGAGGGATTGGCTAAATATAAGAACTTTATCTACTTTTGCTGTTTTTGTAGAATAGATGTAAAGCTATTTTTTTAATTGATTGTTCGGCAAGCCTCGTTAGGTAAATGCACGATGCATAAATGCTGATAAAGTCTTAATTTTGCAACTTGTCCCATAAGTAATTATTATGACAAATGGTTTGTAGCATAAAATCTTCAAATTTGGTAATTCTGAAAATCATTCCATTATAAACAACTGATTCAACACCCGATGGCTGTGTAGGTGTGGTGTGTGTTTCATGAACACTGTATCAAACCTGCAGATAGGTGAATCTGTATCATGGCAAACATATATAATACCGCAAACCACATGTTTTGCACTTCCCACAAGCACTCATTTCAGGTTTGCCAACCTGTCTCGCCTCAAAGACTTTTTTTTATCAGGGTTCTGTCTCTCTGTATTCAATTTTACAGGAACAAGTTACTCACTAAATCAATTATTTCTGAATCTAATTTGAACAACGAATATTCCTGAGCCGGATATCATACTATGGATTCAATAAACAAGCAATGAATTGCTTATTGTTGTACCCTTTGCCAGTTGTTGCGACGAACAGACATTTATTCGATGCAGCTATACTGATGCAGTAGTGTTGAAAATGGTTGTAATAAGTTGTGAAAATAAATAAATATTATGATGGAGCGCATTAAAAATAAAGCAGTTTTATTGATGTACATGTTTTTCATTCGCTTTCCGGTTACGATTTTCAAAATAAAGATTGTAACAAATGTGCAATGATAACACTGATTTATTATATATAATCAAAGGTTTGTACCGATTTGGTATATGCAGTGGCCTAGAATCATCTGAATAAGGAAAAATTATACACTTGGGCACTGAATTTTACGCTTAAATGCTTCTTAAGCTCACCTGCTCGTGATTTTTTGTATGCGTCCATTTTAATGACCATGACTATGCGGAATTGAAAGAGCATGCTTAAAAATACTATCCAAATGTATTATTCAACGAAGAGGGACAACTTTGTCAACCCATTTTTTTTTTCGAATGAGTTTTTCAACGGAATTCTCGTCGGAAACTGGTGGAATCTGATGCTATCTGTAGGATGCTTTTCCGAGTCCTTCAGCCTCCATCCCTTTTAAACCCATTCGTGTGAAAGCCAGCGCTGTTTTCTTAAGCTCTGATGGATCGGGTTCCATTTGTGTGGCATTTTAGCGTCCCTTTCTAAATCCTGTCGCTGTTAAGCAAGCGAATAAAATGAGTAGAGAGCAATCACGGTGAATGTTCGCAATAAAGGTAGATGTTTGAGATTGTGAGGCAGCTGTTATTATGATGTTTATACCTATTCGCTGAATTGTAGTGGATTTGCTAAATTATATGAACTGAACGAGAGTTGCAACATTGAGTCGCATTTGTATTTGCTATCAAACTTCTTCTATGTTTGTATTAAAAATAAATGCAGCTTGATCAAATTAAGTACCAAATTACATTAAATAACATAAAATTCAGTTGATGATGATTATGATTATGGTCCCACCTCTTAACTCTACAAAGATTTGAGCTGGACGATTTATCTTTAAGATAATTAAGTATTACATCTTAACTAGCAATGAAAAACGAACTGGTTACAGTTACAGATCTAAATCCCCTAAAAAAATACAGTTAAGCGGTATAAATGTGA